TATAAATTTGACTGGAATAATCTGAGACTGTTGGGTCACATGGGCACTTTACAACTCTACCAGGGAAACCAAGCTCAAGAACTTATCAGACATGCCGGGCCAAGGAAAGATTCAACTTCCCTACCATCACTCATAAAGTAATGGATATCTAACCCTTCAATGGCATGGCCCCACAACAACCTGATATCTGGTGTGTGTGTGTGTGTGTGGCGGTGGTGAGGATGGTGGTGGGGTGAAGAGGGAGAAAGGAGGAGGAGCAAGGGCTCCTTGGCTCAGTTTGTTCTCTGTTGCCTGTGCAGACTCCTGGACTGCTTGCCAGTCCATCTGTTTGCCCTTTTGGACCTGACTTTTGATTTCCTGCTCCTGACTAGTACCTTGCGACTGAACTTTGCAGCTTTGCTTTCAAACCTGATTCCCATGGCTCCCTTCTGGAACTAGCCTGGTTATCTTATCAATACGGATTCTATCCCAGCCCATTTCTGAAACCTTTTGATCTCAGCTGTAGCCTCTTTAACTTGTATTTATTCTGTAATCTACATATATGTATATAGATACACAGATGTATTTACTGTGTGCTAGGAGATATTGAGAGTATTAGTAACTAAGATTGGAATAAAAGAAGCTACAACATCACTTTGGCCAGCTACTCTTAAACGACAACTGGCTGCCATTGAAACAGCTGAATCTTGTGAATTTATTATTATTCAATAAATTCTGACACTATGGAAAGACACCGACAGGTTCACTTATGTTTCTGGCATAGTGTGCTAGCGACACTATCTGTGGTCACTTTCACCGTTCTTTACGCTATTCCTCCTACAATGTAAGCTGCCATAAGCCTTATTGATGGCATCACATGCTTTTCTTTTTGCGATTGTCATGGCACAGCCAGTGTACTGGTACTCTGCCGGCCTGAGAGCTAACACTGCCATAGAGGCTGACAGGATCTGTAGAGCTTTGCTGAAGACAGGGTGGGGCTTAGGGGGCAGGAAGTTAGATGCAGAGCTGCAAAGATAGTCCGGGTAGGATGCTGGCTAGGAAGGAAGGTTTGAAACTGAAAGTCAATATTCTTTGAGATCAAATCTCTCACATATCACTAACAGAATGGGAAGTTTCGACTTTCTTTGCGGTCTTGTGACTCCTGAGGCTTTTAAACTATACAACAGAAAAGATAACTTGAAAATCTTGTGGTTGGATTTAACCTCTGTTCTCTTCTTTTATTTAAGGTTTGTGGGTATACACATGTATGTGTATTTTTAATGAGAAGGTTGGAAAAGTCATGAGGTTATATGTTGAGCCATATGCATTTAAGTGCAAAATGTAGGGAAGAGTTTGTGAAAATAAAAGCTAATTGGAAAAATACGGACATCGCTGCTTTGGAACCATGCTTTGGACATGCTCTGATATGGAACCAGCTTCTACTATGGTTCCTGATATTTCTTCTTCTTATACTCGTGTTCTTGAATACCTGCTTTTGGAAGGAGATATTAAGTCAGCCCTTATAAATGGGATTTCTGCCCTCATTAAAATGGCTGAAGGGAGCCTGTTTGTCTCCCTTTCCACGAAGATGCATTAAAAAAAAAAAAAGACACCATTTAGAGCAGTAATTCTCAATCTGTGGCTCACCTAAGACCACCAGAAAATACAGATGCTTTCATCACAATTCATAACAGTAGTAAAATTACAGTTATAAGGTAGCAATGAAAATAATTTTATGGTTGGGGGTCACCACAACATGAGAAACTATATTAAAGGATCACAGCATCAGGAAGGCTGACAGCTAATGGTTTAAAGGAATGGGCTCCTCACTACATGTCGACTCCCCCAGAGTTGTGATAAAACTCGTTTATAAATTAGCTAGCTTTAAGTAACCAGAATGCACCAAAACAATGTTTCTTCTACAACAAGGGCAGGTGAAATATTGAGGTTTCTGCCTTGTCTTCTTGGATCATTTGTCCTGGGGGAAGTCAGTCACTGTGTCATCAAGCAGTGAGGTAGAGAGGTTTTCACTGTGAGAAACTGAGGCCTCCTGCCAACAGCCATGTAAATTATCCATGCTGAAAGAGCCTCATGTCAGTGTCTGGTGGTGTGCACCTGTAATCCCAGTGCTTAGAAGGTGAAAACCCGAAGCATCTCAACAAGTTGGAAGCCAGTCTGATCTTCATAAACAGTTCCAAGCCAGCTAGGGTTATATAGTGAGAACCTTTTTCAACCCTGACAGCCTCCAGAACCTCCTTGGCCTCAATTAAAGCCTTCGGATGACTACAACTTCTTGAAATTCTAAACCAGAGCCACCCAAGTAAGGGGTCCCTAAATTCCTGTCCCAAAGAAGCTGTGATAATATTTACTGTACTTTTAAGTTCCCAAGCATCAAGGAACTTGTTATATAGCACTAAGTAAACTAATGCAGAGGGACAGAAATGAAGTCAAGTCTTCTCATATTCTACCTGCACATGTCCTAGCCTCTCAAGGAAGAACAAGTGGTAGGTTCATTCCTGTTTTTGGACATTGCTGGAATGAATATATATACATATATATAGTTCCTGATCACTGCCTCCTTTTGTTTAGGGCAGGATTAGGATGACAGTAAATTTCAGGTCCCCTGGCAGGAGCTCACTGAACCTCATTCATTTGCTATGGGGCTCTGGGGTCCTCGAGAGCACAGCTTGGATCTTGCTATTTCTACCCCCATTACCTTTCCTAGCAACTGAACATATATGAACAGAGTGAAGGCAAGGGAGAGGACAAACTACCCTGCATCCCGGATTCTAAGAAAAGTCTATTCTTCAAATGGTTCCGTGCAGACCAGAGAGATGGTGGTTAACAATGGTTCCTTATTGGAGCCATTGCATTGGCAACATATCAACAAAGTCTTGACAATGATACAAAGCCATTAGACATTTCCACTGTTAAATAACCTCCACTCATCTGTTAAGATCCTTTTCTTTCAGGAGCCATCCTCGTTCACTCTCTGGTCTGATTTCCTCTATGCAATGTGGCTTTTACTGTTGATCAGGATCCCAGCATGCCTAATGCAACAAACCAAAATAGTCTGCTGTCAACATGCTTGTTCAAACTCATAGTGGGACGTTCCTTGGGTTGGAACTAGGAGAGCTGAGTTGACCAGTTTATATGGCTTGGGGAACATTTTCTTTCCTTTTCTGGACTCGGTTCTCTACCTCAAATTGAAAGTAGATCTACATGAGCTCTAAAGTCCTAAGGTTCTCACAAGTTAATCCAAAAGTGAAACCCAGTCATCAGCATACCTGAGTTATGGTTACTGTGCAAGGTTCTTCTCTGACTTTTCCATCGTTAGGGACAGGGGAAAGGCCTGTCAGGTTTATTGAAAAACAAACAAAACAAAAAACCAAACAACCCCCCCCCCAAAAAAAACCAAAACCCTCAACCTCCTCCCCTTTTCTTTTAATTAAAACACATTTACTGATGGATTGATTTTTAACCGTGTATGTGCATGGAGGTCAAAGGACAACATATGGGAGGCTCTCTCTTTCCACCATGTGGGTCCCAGGGATGGAATTCAGGTCATCAGGCTTGGAGGCAAGAACCTTAACCAAGTGAACCATCTCCGAGCTGGATCTAAGCGGATCCAACCTTATGGTTTGACACACATGGGTCTCTGCATTTCTGGTTCTACCTCAATAACTTCTGACGACTTTGGAAAAATCCTCCTGGGCTATGGAGCAGAGAAGTTCTTGCTGCTCAAAAGCAGGTCAAACAGCTGGGCAGTGACTTGGAGAACTTTCCCCTTCCTCAAGCTGCCGGCTCAACTCTAGAGCAAGGGTCCCTTGGGACTGTTTGCTTTGCTCTAAGGTGCTTGAAATTTAAAGTACGTGTGGGGGCTGGCAGTAGCTTAGCCTCTGGGGTAGCTAAGCTACAGGTGAAAGCCATTTTTTTTGTCTTTCACCTGAAACGGTTTCTTCTCTGTGTAGCCCTGGCTATCCTGGAACTCAATGTAAGCCAGGTTGGCCTCGAACTCATAAAGATTCGGCTGCCTTAGCCTTCTGGGATTAAAGTCCTGTGCCACCACCGCCAGGATAGAAAGGTGAGTTTCTTAAAGGGACAGCCATTAGATGGGTAACTCCTGGGAGCATCACTGGGCGAGGACACATTCATGAACGCACCAATGAATGCAGGCATGAATGAATGAAAAATTAACGACCGAACTTCTTTTCACCTGATTAAACGGCTCAGACTAGGAGTTAACCCCTCAGACCTAAAAATCTTCTGAAACCCTCAAACGTTTAGCAAACTAATAGGTCTCCGTTTTATATCTGGTCCTTAATGAAACTCCTCAAATCTTTTTTGAGAAACGAAAAATTTAAAAACCAGTAAAAAGTGGAAGACGTAGAGTACCTCTTCCCCTCCTAAGTCCCTTCTTCCTCCGCCCCTTAACGCGATTGAGGGGCGCAGTCCGCACACATTCATTTTTCCCTGTTGGGAATCCACCCCGGGCTTGCCAGGCACTCATCCTTTCTTGAAGTTAGCCAGCACGTGTTCAGGGAGGTTAAGGGGTGTCTTGATCTTGTTTCTTGGGTCTAGCTCAGGTGAGGTCACTTCCCTGTTTCAAAGTCTCCAGCACCTCGAGTCCAGCGCGCTAGTTCAGAACCGCAGGCTACCTCAGGTAGGCTAGGACGACGTGCAGGCTGGCTGTCCCAAAGCCACTTCGGGCCACCTGTAGAGCGCGTGTCAACTCCTTTGTCCTTAAAGCCACTTGGACTGGAGCTCCTCTCAGCAAGGCGCTTCCCTCTGGATGCTTAAGGGTCCTCCTTCCTGTACTCCAGCCCACTCCAGGCCCTCCTCCCTTTTCTAACCCCTAGGTAGCAGCGCCCGGAGCCCGGGGCTCGGAGCGAGCCGCCTCCTCACTTCTCATTGGCTGAGAACGTTGGGAAAGCAGTCACGTGGGCGCGCGGCAGGCCAGCTCCAGGGCCGCCATCTTGGCGGAAAGTTTAGGGGGAGAGCGACTGGGGGCGCGGAAGGAGGCGAGGTTCCGGGGGTGGGGCGGCCCAGAGGCGAGCGGGCGAGCAGGGCCGCGGGCCGCGGCGAGCAGGCAGGCGGCGGCGGCGGCCGAGGCGGAGAGAGCGGCGTGGGGGTGCGGCCGCCGAAGGGGAGCTCCTCCCCCGTCCCCTCACCCCCTCAGCTGAGCTCGAGTCGGGGCGGGGCGGGGTACGTGGAGCGGGGCCGGGCGGGGAGCTGCTCCGAGTCCGGCCGGAGCGCAGCCGGGGCGCCCGCGTTCGCCGCTCGCGGGAACTTTGCGGCGGAGCCGCAGGTGTGGAGGCCGCGGAGGGGTGCATGAGCGGCGCGAGGGCGGCGCGGAGAGCGGCGGCTGTCCGGTCCGGCCCCTGCTGGAGTCGCCGCCGGGAGGAGGCGAGCGAGGAGCCAGGCAAGCGAGAGGAGGGGGCCCCCGAGCGGGTCGGGGGAGCAGCCCGGCGCTCGGCTGGGCTCTGCGGGGCTGGGCACGGGCCGGCCGGCGGCAGCAGGTGGGGAGCGTGGCAAGCACGCCGCGGCGGCGGCCCCGCTTCTCTTCAGGAGCTCTTTACGGAGGGGGAAGCTCTGGACGAACATTCCGAAGCGGGCTTGGGTCTGATCTTAATCTGTAGGGGCCATAGTGACCCCCGAGAGCCAGCTTTCTGCCTTGGCTGACACTGCTCGGGGGGGTTGAGGCTTCTGCTTTTTTTCACTTGGGAAAACTTTGGAAGGTGAGCAGTTCCACCAAGGTTTGAGTTTTTCGTAGTCGAGAGTTTGGGGCGGGAGTGGGGGGGGGGCAGGGGCAACGAAAGGATCCACGATTCAGTTCTTTGCGTTAGTTCAAGTTTTCCTTCCTGTTTTGTGTTTGTAAAGGTGTGTGCCTTCTTCCTGATACTGGAGAAAAATGCCGGTCCGGAAGCAAGGTGAGAATTTATTTTGGGACTGTTCTGTGGCTGTTACTTGCTGTAACATACATCAGTGTTGTAGTTACTGTTTTTAAAAGGTTTGTGTGACTTTGATGAATCAGCAGGCTCTCGCCTTTATTCTTTATGGTATCTAAGCTTCACATCACTCAGGTTTGGAAACACCTAGTTGGCTACACACACCTTCTTGACATCCGTAGTGATTACAGAAGCAGTCAGCCCTCGACCATGTGTTTTTCAAAACTTCATGGCTTCAGTAATTCACTTTATCATTCATATCAACACTGTTTTGTGAGCAACTAAGAATTGATGTTTAGAAACACTTACATTTTGGTTGCAGGAACAAATTGCAGATAACTTGTTCTTGTCTATTAGGCATTCTAAAACCAAGTTGCTATCAGTTTAATTAGATGATCTTTTAGTCTTGGAAGCTGTCAGTCCACAGTTAACACAGGCTACTCACTTGTTCCTTTCTCTTCTGTGATACAAAGCCTTTAAAATATTTGTCTTAGTAGGGAATGGAATATGGGTGTAGTGATGGCAGCACTTGGCTTGGAGGCCCTGGGGAACTCTTCAGATGTCTTATAGACGTGGCATGTAGCATTTTCTTGTAAATATGTATGCAGATACACACAGACCCTTAATAAATACATGAAATTTTCACCATACTTGTCTTTTCAGATACCCAGAGAGCATTGCATCTGTTGGAAGAATATCGATCGAAACTAAGCCAAACTGAAGACAGACAGCTCAGAAGCTCCATAGAGCGGGTTATTACCATATTTCAGAGCAACCTCTTTCAGGCTTTAATAGGTGGGAGTTAAAGCTTTACTTGTGACCACTGTACTAAAGCATGATGCTTCTCTGTTAGTATAAACTTAGAAAGACAGTGTGCTTGGTTCTCTTCGGACGGTCATTAACTTAGAAAATCTCTAGTGAGTCTGTGTTTTGCAGTTAGGCCACCTTCGCTTCTAAGAATGTTTAATTACCAGAAAAACTTACTGGTCTGGTTATTTCTGTGCACTTTGAGAACACCGTTTCATGCCTCAGAGTTAGCTGTTGAAAGATGGACGAGTTGTAGAAATGTTTTAGGGACACCAGTTGTAATGACTGAACTACTTTGGTGTTTCTGTAGTTGACTTATATTTCTCTGGAATCCTTGAAAGTGTTTGAAGGGTTCTTCTGCTGTGTTTGAGAACATTCATTGAAACACACCTCTGTTAAATATGTCATTTGTGGAATATGAATTTTAGACCTGGAAAACGATCTCAGAGGTGATATTGTCTAATAATTATTATTCTACAGACAATATTGTAACAGTCTTGTCCTTACCTGTATCTTAAATATGAGATAGTTTGTTGTTTTAAAGAGTTGGACAAATAGTCCAAAGTCCTGAATTTAGTTCCTGACACTGTTAGTGATTAAATATCAGAACTCATTCAGCCTGTTTAGGCTGTTGTGGTTACAACAGACTGTGAGTGGGAAAATGAATCAGTGGGCTTTTAAGACTTTTAAAGTAAGTAGACTCTTTTAAAACTGAAATTTTTTGTTTTTCACATCATCCCCAATGTATAAAACAAGTTGGTCTGTCTCTGTCTCCTTTTATCATATACTTCAAAAGTTTGCAAACTACTAAACAAGGTGATTGATTGCTTCTAGGTTTGATAATGAGATTTTTAAAAAAATTAAGTATCTACTGTCTAACATGTTCAAATAAGACATATGCTTTCTCACATTATGTTCATTTTCTCAGTAACTTCCCAGCAGATTGGCCTAACAAATGTGTGTGTTGATAGATTATTGGTGTGATTTGAACACTGTTGTCAGTGTGTGCCTTGTCATAACTTACTGCTATATTGATGCTCTTTACTGAATGTTAGACTCTTACAGGCTTGATAGCCCTTAAAACTTTTTAGAATTTAGTGTTAGGACAGACTTAAAGACATGCATAAAGGGTGGCGAGATGATGACCTGCCGTCTGCCACCCGTCCTCTGAGATGATCAGTGTTGTGGTGATGTTAGAGTGGACACATTTGCGTTTGTTTTCCAAGCCATAGCATTTAAGGTACAAATAGATGATCTGATTGATTCCTTGGAGGAAAAAACCTAGCAAATGAGGAAGAGAAAACTATTTTAGTTATGTAGTTTTCTAGATCAATATTAAGCTTAGAATTTTTTATTAGATAGAGACATGTTAGGAACAACCCCAGTATGACTTGTGTGCCCTGTTTACACACTCATGTACATACAGACCAGTCTTACTGTGTGGGAAAGCTGTAACCTAGGAAAAGTAAGAGAAGCCACTCTTTCCATATTATGCTTGGACTTGCTATGTTTTGAGGCAATTTTTGTATCTTCTTGCCTGTTTTGAATGTTCATTCATATGCATAGTTAAATTTTGATAATCTTCCATTTAAGTTTGCACTTGAGAATTTTATCTGTCTTTTTAATTTTGTTAGTTATGGACTTCCTTTGTTATTTGGGCTTACTTGTCTTTTAGTATTTCTAGTTAAGTAGTATCAGGTATAGTGGAGCAGGAGTAACTGGATGTTAGGCATTTGGAGAGAGACAGGTTTGCTTTTTGTGCATTATAACTGAGTTGATGATACTGCTGCACTAATGCATTCATTCTTGTCACATACTATCATTTTAGCACTTGAAGCTGAGGCAGGAGGATTCTAGGCCAACCTGGCTAAATCACAGGGTTAAGAGGAGTCTGAGCTACATAGACTTTGTCTCAAAATAAAACAGAAAACCAACACCACAAAGTATTTCTCATGTTTGCTTCTCATTCTGAAACTTTAAGCTGTTAAGATTTTGTTCTTTATATCTTTACCATTGTTTTTGAAATAGTTTTACAATGTGCTTTTTAGCTGGTAAATTGTTCTATGTTAAAAACTAGTCCATTTTGTCCAAGTTTATACTGAAAAATTGTGGGCTGAGTGCTTCTCCTAGAGTGGCAGCACTTTTTACTTTCTAAGCTGGTGCACGTGAATGAATATCTAGATTTAAAGGAGACATCCATCTCAATGACCAGAGCTAAAAATATCATTTGACAGTTAGGTTCTTGATTATCATTTGGAATTGAGTTTTTGTAGGTTTTAGTGACTTACTTACCTGTTTGTAGGTTTTTTGTTTTTTGACAGGGAGGCATGTTATACACTGTTTGTAATTTCATTATTATTATTTATTGATTCTTTGAAAAAAATTAGTATTGACTGTTTTCATGAAATTACAGTTTATGTGAGTCTGTAGGGTTTGGTGGTATGGAAATGTTAAGTCTTTTCTCCTAGTTGACAATATGCATTAGCTTCTGATACTTTGGGGTTATTTGAAAGGACAGACTACATTGTATCTGTTCTGTAATACCATTTAAATTTTATTTTTATTATATTGAGAGAGAGTGAGTGTCTGTATGTGTGTGTGTGTACATGTGTGAGCACACTTGTGGTGCTTGTGTTGATTAGAGAACAACTTTTAGGAGTTCATTTTCTCCTCCTATCACAGAGGATCTGGGAATTGAACTCAGATCATCAGGGTTGGTGGCAAGTGCTTTTACATCCTGAACTATCTCACTGAACCCTGTTATAAAATTTTATAATATGTCTGAAAGCGGGTGTTATCTTATACGTACTATATCCCCCATTCCTTCCCCCACTTTCTCTTCTGTGTATCCAGATAGGCTCCTGAGTGCTGCAGTTCAGATGTGAGCAGTCACATCCGGCCTGTATGTGCTGTTAAGAATTGGTTGTTTGGTTGTGAGTTTAAAGTCTGTATTATTATTGCTGGCACGTGAAATAGTGATGTAACATAATCGACAGTATTCTCAATTTAGATGTAGAAAATGTTCTGGTACTTGAATAGTGTTGTTAAATAATAATTCAAAACTTTGAAAGTTCTTGAAAAGCAGTCAGATTTCATTCAAATCTAGTTAAGTTTGTTCATTCTCCTCTCTCTTTCTTTCTTTCTTTCTTTCTTTCTTTCTTTCTTTCTTTCTTTCTTTAAGACAAGGTCTCACTATGTAACCTTTACTGTCCTGGTACTCCCTGTATAGACCAGGCTGGCCTCAAACTCATAGAAATCTCCCTATCTCCTAGGTGGGATTAAAGGTATGTGCCACTGTGCCTGGCTTCAGCTAAGTTTTTTCTTTAGAATCAAATATTTAAAATTATAGCAACAAAACACATTATTTGCACATTTGTTTAAGATTTAGTCGCAGACATATCTGGTGGTTGGTTTTGTACAGATAGAAAGTAGTATCCTTTTGTCATTCATTCATCCCCATATCCAGTATTACATCTGAAAGTTTAGAGGTTAGAGAGATTCAACATGGTTTGATTATATCAGAACCCAGATACCCAGATTTTAAGGTGTCTGGAATTCAGGGTGACCCTGAAAGTCTAGAGATTTCATACCAAGTCTATCCTTGTAGCTGTTTCTTACTACATCACTTTCAAGTTCTGTCTTTAAATCCTTGGGTAAATTTAGTCATGTGATTTGCATGTTTTAATTTTATTGTTTTTTTTTAATCCGCAATAAATAGCAAGCTTTAACTTTATTTAAGGGAAGACATGCTAGATAGTAAACCCATTGGGCTACAGTCCCACAAATATCTACAGTTCATACCCCCTACTCTCTCCACCCCCACCCCAACTTCCCCTGGAGTATCCCAACTTTATATTGTCTTTTTTTTTTTAATAAGTCACAATTATTACTGTTTATATGTATGGGCAACATACCAGTGACCACATGCATGAAGAAAAGGATTCTCTCTCCCCAGCAGGTATTCACTACCAGTAGCTTTTCGGCAGGTTGTGGGGTCTTGAACTCCTCAGCCATCCATCCTGGAATTTCTACTGGCTTGATCTTGTTGTGCAGGCAGCCCCAGCTGCTGAGGGATCATGAATGCACTGGCCGTGTTCAGAGCTCCTACCCTTCTCCTTTCTTTCAACCCCATCTTCTCCAGTGTTCCTTGAGCCTTGGTCGGGAAGACCTGTGACAGTGATGTCCGGTTTGGGTCTGAGCATTCATACTTTTCTTGAGCACTTGGATCAGGTATGAACCTCTGCATAACTACTGCCCACAGTAAAAAGAAGGTTTTATTTTTGGCCAAGGTTAGGAGCTACATAGATCGGAGTCAGGGTAGCCATGTAGAGAGGCTGTGGTGAACCTTATTTATAAGTTAGATTTTAACGTGTATATTTGAGGTTTACAAAATGATGTTGTGAGATACATAGATAGTAAAATAGAGCTATAGGGAAGTAGTTAATGTATCGTTTTGCATACTCTTATTTTTTAGTCGAAAGCTGCTAAAATCTGCTTAATTTGACAAAGGTCCCTAATACTGTCCAATTTTATTAGCTTTAGTCCTAATGTTGAACATTAGATTCCTAAACTTGTTCATCATCCATATCCCACTTAGTTTAACCTCTTTTTCCTGGGTCTCCCTCCTCACCCACAGATTCATCCTCACCATATTTAAATTTTTCATTTCTCTTTAAGCATTCCACATCCAGGTGAAGCCAGGCGGTGTTTTTATGTGTCCAGCTTATTTTAGTTAGCACAGCGTCTCTAGGTCTATTCATGTTGTGATAGATGAAACTTTTTGTTAAAGAATGAATCTGTGTGTATGAATGTATATGTATGTGCATACACAGCACATCTTTAAAGCTTCTGGACCATTAAAAACATTTAAATTGTTTCTGTGTCTTACGTATTATGAGTACGCGGCAGTGAACATAGGCATGTACATATCTTTTCAAGGTGGTGATTTTACCTCCTTTGGTTGTATCTGTTCCCAGATACATCCTGGG